TTGCTTCCATTTCAATCTTTTTTGACCACTCTGGAAAATCTGGACAAACCTGATGAGCAGAAGTCTTGGGCTTTACCACAGGTGTCTGGGTGGTGTTCTGAGAGCCAGACTTCTGCTCAGCCCAAACTGATGCCAAGATGTCCCAGGCCAGGTGAATCCAGAAGTGGACTTGCAGCCAGAAGTCCGCTGACAGCGCTGCTTGGGACTGCAGATCTGCTTCTGTGGTGCTCCAAAAAGAGCTTGGTGTTGGCCTCTGCAAGTCTCTCAGTAGCTCTGAAACATTCACAAGCACACACAGAGTCATCTTTGGCAGGAAGGCTTTCGCAAAGTTACCCTCCACAGCCTTGGCTACTACTCGACTTCTAAAAGCCAAGGGCATGAAGAGCGTCCAAAACCAGCACATCCTTTGATCTGAGCTTGTTCACAGGGCCTGTTTCTAAGAAATCACACCAAGTGCAAGGAGCAGCCAGTGTCACCTCCAGAAGAACTCTGGCCTACCCTGGCCTTCTCAAGGAAAGCTCAACCCTCAGACCCGCTGCCAAAACAGAAGCCAAGAAAGAGCCGCCTTATTTTGGATTCAAGAATCCAACTCTCTTCTCCCAGAGGCCTCTCCTTATTCAAACAGGAAAGGGCACAAGATTAATCTTCTCTGTCACCCACGGGATGAGGAGAGTAGAGACTGGCAGAAAGACTGCCTGCTAAAACAACCTCAACTTGAAAAGACACCAATAATGCCATAGTGGTGGTGCTGTGGGGTTACTGCTGGAACTCTAAAGAGAAAGGAAGACAGGTCTGAGGAAGGGAAGGGTCTGAAGGAACGTTCCCCACAAAGATGCCACGTTCTGCTTTCACACCTGACACTGGTCAGATGTAGAAAAGGGATTTCCAAGGAAAATGCAGGAGGAAAAAGGAGTCTGTTCTTACCAGTCCAAAAAAGCATGGACTTACCTTTCCAGTCTCTTGGCGAAGCTTTTTCTTCTTTGGGCTTCCACCAGATACAGCTCTTTGTACTTGTCCACTTCTGCCTGGGTGGATTCCTTTTGAAAAGGTCTTTCTGCTTGGTTGCTTTTTGTCCTTCCCAGTGCACGTTCAAGATCTCTAATTCTGTCTTCCAGCTGTTTTTTCAGTGAGTCCACATGACTGGTTCTGATTTCTTCTAAGGTGTCCTGGTGGGCTGCCTGTGCCTGAAGGAGACAGTGCACCTTCAACCACCACAAGAAAAAGAGAGCTCTGCCCAGCACAAAATTGCACACACCCACTTTCAAGGGCCCAGCCTTACTCAGAGAGGTGGCTCTGCCTCCTCACTCCCAGCAGCAACCAAGGCAGAACCCAGGAGCTGCAGGGCAAACAATTCTTTTCATTGGGAAAGAAGCCCAAATGAGCACTCTGCTTCAAAGCTACTAATGAAGAGACACTGGGTCTGTAGGGCAGGGCATGTCCAAAAGGATTCTTCAAAGACAAGAAGACCTTCCACCTCCACCTCCACCCTCTCCCTCCCATCCCTGGAATTTCAGTGACTCCTTTTCTGAGCACTTTCACCCCCTACAAGGACAAAGCAGCACCTGTAGGTCTGGCCATGACAGCTGGAAATTGCCAAACCCATTCAAGGATGAGCAGTGAGAAGCAGAGCAGCGCACAGAGATCCCCCCAAGCACTGCAAAGTGGGAATCTGCCTTGGGCAGCCTTTGCATTCAGGGACCTGCCGGCACATTCCACACCCATGACAGCACTCCTGCCCAACCAGATTGCCTTCTGCCACTGCCTTCAGCAAAGACAGAAGCTAACCCACAGAATACAGGAGCAAAAGAAAAAGACCAAACACCATGGCCACAAGAGAAGTTTAGGAAGTGCCTGTGGACACTGGGGAGAAATTCACTTACTTGCAAAAACTCATTGACTTCTTGGAGTTTTTGTCTTATTTCCTGGTCTGCTTGTTCTTCCACCTCTCTTTTACACTGTTCGAGTTGGCTGCGATCCACCACGTTGGTCTCCAAATGATGGTGGAGTTTTGCCAGCTCTTCTTGCAGCTGGCATTTGTCCATGGCCAGGTTCTCGCACTCCCCACGCAGGGCAGACAGCTCTTCTTGCAAAGCCTGATTTTTGGCCTCCAGCTGCGTGCACTGTTCACGTTCCCTGTCCAGCTTCTGGGAAAGTTCAGCAACCTGCAGACAGAAAATAAAAAAAGGAGCTCAGCGTGGTGTAAAGGCAGTGAATTCTGGGAAAATCCAAAACTGGCTGCCCAGGGAGACTTTATTCATCATCTGCTGGCTCAGGACTAGACACAAAGTGCAACCAGGCTTTTCTTTTCCAGCAAGAACAGCTTTCCCATCATTTGCCATAGGATTCCTCAGCTTCCCAGCCTTTTGGAGTTCCTCATGCAAAAATGCTCCACGCTTCTGGACTCCAAAGGAATCACTGCAAAGGCAGGAAGCCATTCTACAGGGATGCCTTCAAACCCAGGCGTGACTCTGACAGACGCCGCTTTAGCAACGGATCCGAGTGACGAGCGGAGAAGGGATGAGAGGTTCTGTGCCACTGCTGCACAGGCAGAGCAGCCTCAAAAGCACTGCTGGGAACAGCCCTTCTGGCTCCCCACCACAGGATGGGCTGAAACAGCTCCCCGTGAGCAAGAAGGGACAGATTTTCCCCTGGGAGGCCCCTGTCCTCCTTGGGCCCTGGGCAGCAACAACACTGTGCAGAAAAGCAAAGCCTCAAGTGCCTCCTGCTCAGCTCGTGCCTGAGACAGGGCTCAGGGGCTGATGGTGCCCTGCCAGTGACAGTGCTGTTCCTCCCCTCTCTGCCAGGGCAGCAATTCATCTGTCACACCCAGAGGACGCTGTCACAGCCTCCCTCCAGCTGCAGCCAGGCCTCAGCTGGGCCCCACTGCTCTCAGCCCATGGACGTGATGTCCTGCCAGGACGGCAGACCTGCCCATCCCTAGGGCCCAGCCGAGGGATCTGCACTCTTGGCTGACCCCGCTCACTGTCAGGGGGCCTGTTCTGCTCTTCTTGCTCAGGGCCTGTGGGACGGCTCCCTGGCCCGGGAGCTCACGCACCCTGCCAGGCTGGCTGCCACTCCTGGCTTGCCCCTCCTCTGCAGGACAGCCTGGCCTCCATCAGCCCTTACACCTACTGCTTTGCCCTCAACATTTCCATCTTTCCCCAGAAGGAGAACTACCTCTGGATTAGTTCGAGTCATCTCCCACTGGAACAGCAGGAGGAGCATTAAGAAAAGCCCATCACATCCAAAATGCAGCCAAGGGAATAAAAATCATCAGCATGACAAGAAATAGAGGGAAAGCATCTCCCAGCTTTCAAAAGAAGGAACACCACAACCAAAGAGCCCCACCCAGAGCGCAGCTCACCTCTCTTTGGAATCCATCAACTTCCTTGACCTTTTCAGAATATCTCTTCTTCATTTCTTCCAGCTGGGACTGACTTCCTTTCTCTTCATTAACCCGGAGTTTCCTGCTCTCTATCCTCAGAAGCTTTTCCAGCCTGCACAGCAAATTAGTCAAGAAAACCATGAAACACAGGAAGAACCAGCCTTTCCCCCACAGTCTCACAGAAACAGCACAGACAGCATCCAAGCCTAGAATGGCTTGGCTTGGCAGGAATCTTAAAGATCATCCAGTTCCAAGCCTCCTGCTGTGGGCAGGGACACCTTCCACCAGACCAGCTTGTTCACAACCCCATCCAACCTGGCCTTGAACACTTCCAGCTATGGGGCATCCACAGCTTCTCTGGGCAACCTGTTGCAGTTCCTGACCACCCTCACAGCAACCAATTTCTTCCGAGGATCAAATCTAAACCTATTCTCTTTCCATTTGAAGCCAATCCCCCTTGTCCTCTCACTACCTGCTCTTTTAAATGCACTCTCTTCATCCTTCTTGTAGGCTCCCTTCACACCCCAAAAGGCCACAATTAGGTCACCCCAAAGCCTTCTCTTTTCCAGGCTGAAGTGTTGCAATTGTCCCAGCCTTTCCTCCTAGCAGAGGTGCTCCATCTTTCCAAGCACCTTGGTGGCCTCCTCTGGACTCTGTCCAACAGCTGGAGGTCCTTGCTGTGCTGAGGAGCCCAGAGCTGGATGCAGCACTCCAGCTGGGCTCTCCCAAGGGCAGAGCAGAGAGGCAGAATGCCCTCCCTCCCCCCGCTGGCCACGCTGCCTTGGACACAGCCCAGGACACAATTGGCTTTCTGGGCTGCGAGCGCACATCGCCGGCTCATGTCCGGCCTCTCCTCCAGCCCAAGGGCTTCTCGGCAGGGCTGCTCTGCCCCTCTTCATCCCCCAGCCTGCACTGATACAGGGGCTGCCCTGAGCCACGGCCAGCATCTTGCACTGGCTCTTGGTAAACCATCAGCAGATTGCCATGGGCCCACTTCTCCAGCTTGTCCAGGGCCCTCTGGATGGCATCAGCTGTGTCAACCACACCCCTCAGCTTGGTGTCAGCTGCAAATTTGCTGAGGGCGCACTCCAACCCTTCCTCTGGATCATTAGTGAAGAGATTAAACAACACTGGGCCCAATCCAGACCCCTGAGGGACACCACTCGGCACTGATGGCCCTCAGCACTCTGAGCCATTGGTCACCACCTCTGCATGGCACTGTTCACCCAATTTCTTCTCCATCTAACAGTCCACACATCCAATCCATCTCTCTCCACTTTGGAGAGAAGGATGTTGTGGGGGACTGTGTCAAAGGGTTTCCAGAATGACAGGGAGATGACATGGGTAGCCCTTGTCCACTGAGGCAGTCGCTCCATCTTAGAAGGCCACCAGGTCGGTCAAGCAGCACTTGCCCTTGGGGAAGCTGTGCTGGTGCTTCCAATCACCTCCCTGCCGTCCATGTGCCTTGACAGAGCTTCTAGAAGGATCTTTTCCATCACCTCCCCAGGCACAGAGGGCAGGCTGACAGGTTGGCAGTTCCCAGGGCCCTCCTTTCTACCCCTTTCAAAGATGGGCACAGTGGGTTTCCCTTTTCCCCCTCACCTGGGACTTCCCCTGACTGCCACGACTTTTCAAATATCAAAGAGAGGGTCTTGGCAACTCCATCAGACTCTGTTGGCCAGTGGAGGGCAATAATGCTGGCCAGATGTAGAAGATGGATTTCCAAGGAAAATGCAGGAAGAAAAAGGACTCTCTCATTACCACTCCAAACAAGCACGGACGTACCTTTCCAGTTTCTTGGCAAGGCATCTTCTGGTTTTAACTTCCTCCAGATACAGCTCTTTGTACATCCCCATCTCTCCCTGTGTTGCTTCTTTACGAGAAGCACTCTCTTGTTGGGTGTTTTTGACCCTCTCCAATTCACTTTCCAGATTTCTAATCCTTTCTTCCAACTGGATTCTCATGGAATCACAATGACTGTCTCCAGTTTGTCCTAGTGGGGCCTGGTGGGCTGCCTGTGCCTGAAGGAGACAGTGCACCTTCAACCACCACAAGAAAAAGAGAGCTCTGCCCAGCACAAAATTGCACACACCCACTTTCAAGGGCCCAGCCTTACTCAGAGAGGCGGCTCTGCCTCCTCACTCCCAGCAGCAATCAAGGCAGAACCCAGGAGCTGCCAGGGCAAACAACTCTTTTCATTGGGAAAGAAGCCCAAATGAGCACTCTGCTTCCAAGCTCCTAATGAAGAGCCTGTGGACACTGGGGAGAAATTCACTTACTTGCAAAACGAGGCTGACCTCTTGTAGCTTTGCACTTCTTTCCTGGTCAGCTCCTTCTGCCACCTCTCTTGTACACTGTTCTCTTTGGCTGCCATCCAGCACCAAAGCCTCCAAATGATGGTGGTGTTTTGTCACCTCTTCTTGCAGCTGACATTTGCTCTTCTCCAGTTGTTCACACTTCCCAAGCAGAGTGGACAGCTCTTCTTGCAAAGCCTGGTTTAGGGCCTCGAGCTGCATGCCTGTTCCAGGCTCCATGTCCAGCTGCTGGGAAAGTTCACCACCCTGTGCACAGAAAAATAAAAGAAAAGGAAACTCAGCGTGATCTAAAGGCAGTGAATTCTGGGAAAATCTCTCAAGGGGGTGGCCATGGCAACTGTATTTATCATCTACTGGAAATGAGCCTAGAAAACACTTGAAAGAAGAAACTTTAGACCTACTTAAGAATTTGGGAGACACTTCTGACAGCAATACTTTTGGGTGCCTTGGAGCTCATGATGAAACTCCTCATTTAGAATCTAAGAATTCCTCCAGTGTCCAGCACACCAAATACCCTCAGGGCTTTTGTAGCAGAAATAGGCAACTAGGCTCAAGAGTCACAAAAAGGCAAATTTAGGACCAGCTTACTGAGGCAGAGGCTTGCAGGGCTCTCGGAAGGGCTTCAACGCTCTCGCTTGGCTGCTGGACAGTGGCTTCCAATCTGCTGTTCTCACTTGCAGAGCTTAAGAAGAAATACAGCTTTATTACCAGAAAAGCCAATGCCAGACAAACTGTGCTAAGGAACAGAAGCCACAGCAGAAGTGTCCTTCAAAATCCCACTGACTCTCCCCCTGTTTCCACCCAATCCCCAAAGCCACAGACCCCTCGCTTCACTGGGTTACTCTCTTACTGTTGCGCGTCTTCTTCCAGTTGGTTCACAGTCGGATTGGTCTCACAAGATGCCAACAGGAGGTCCTGCAGTTTCTGGGAGGAAGTTACTGCCTCTCTTTTCTTGGCATCCAAGGCAGTCTTCAAGTCAGGAACACAATGCTCAGACTGAAGATGCTTTTCTTCCTCCTCCTGCAGCTGTAAAATCACGGGAAGAATCCACAGTTGTCAGGGGAGCTTTTCCAGAGAGGAGCCAGCTGCTGCTGAAGAACTCAGGTGCTGCATGTCTGTGTGCATCCCCTCTGCCCAAAGAACTGCAATCCATTCAAGTCCCTTCAAAGCTTCACTTCTACTCCCCAATGAACACACTGAACACTGTTTTGTCCGTTTTCAGGATGGATAGGAAGCAACAGGCACCCCCAGGTTTCTCCCTGTGGGGACAGGCTTTCCATACCTCCGCGCCAGCCCTGTCCAGCTCCTCCTGCAAGCACAGATTATCTTCCTCCAGGTGAGCCTCATGGCTTCCAGGAACCACAAGAGCAGTCCTAAAGCATGCAAAATTTCATCGGAAACATGTCTGATCCTGCATCAGTTTTCCCCTGCTTGCTCCCAAAACAGCTCTTCCCCCCTTTCCTACAAGCTCCATGAAAACAAAGCCAAGTCCATGGAAGCATTGGAGAATTTCTCTTACAAGGGGCCTCCCTAAAGCAGCCTCAGCTACCAGCTCAGGCCATGCTGTTCAGGGCTCCTTGCACTGCTCTTCAAAGTCCCCCCAGATGCGGCTGCACAAACTCCCAGGGCAAGCCCTTCGACCCCCTGACCATCTCCATGGCAGGAAGTTTTCTCCTTCTGTGCGCTCGGAGCCCCTCGTGTCCCCTGGGACAGTGTTGGTTCTCTTTCCCCCAACGCTTCCCTTCAGAGCACTGAATGCACCGACTCTGCCGTGCCTTAAACCCCCCTGGCCTGCAGAGCAGCCACGCTGCTGAGCTACTGGCAAGTTTCCCCGGGGCTCTGGCTCTGGGTGGGGAGAGGGCACCACAGACAAGGCTTTCTTGCAGACCTCAGCGGGCAAAGGACGAGAGCCCCTGAGGTAGGAGAGCAGCCAAGAGCAGACCTGCATTTACCAGTCCCACGGGGAACTGCTTCCACGGGGCTGCTCCTTCTTTTTCCCAGCTCATTGCCACGCCCCTCGTCTGGGTCACACTTGCAGACTACCCAGAACACCCGGGTGCTGTTTTGACAAAGCCCTCACCTTTCCCCCTGGGCTTGAGCAGGCCTGTCAGCTGCTTTGTTCACAAGGCACTCCAGAATCTCCTCGTGCTCTTGCAAGGCTGCAAGTTTGAAGGGGGTAAATCCCCACTAAAAGGAGAAAGAATCCCCATTAGAAAGACACAGACAAGCTCTGCAGCTGTTGGAAAGAGCAGCTTTAGCCCCGTGCCAAGGTTACCTGGTTCTGAGCATCACTGTTGGCATGATGCTCCAGTAACAGCCCTGCTACAGCTGTGTTTTTAGAGAGGACAGCCAGGTGAAGGGCAGTGTTGCCGTCAGCGTCTGCCAGATTGGGGTCGGCACCGTGTTCCAGCAGAACAGCAACACATTCTTCCTGCTCCTGCTGGACTGCCTGGCAACAACACACCAAAAGGGAAAGACTCCCAACTTTTCCATCCCCCTCTGTCACAACTCCCTCAGCTCCTGAGTGCTGCCATAGAAGACCATCTTCAAAGATCAGCTAACAGAGGCTGTGCCGTGCCCATTGCAATAGGTGTGTTTCTATGGCCCTGCCCTGCAAGGAATCCTGCCAGACACCTCCCCTTTAACAGCCCAGCACTAAGCCCCACCTCCAAGCTCAGAAGGCATTGCACACACCTTCATCAGGGCCGTTCTCTTGAAGCTGTCAGCGAGGTTGGGCTGGCTGTTCTTCCTTAGCAGATATCTGACGACATCTGCATGGCCATTGGCCGAAGCCAGATGCAGAGGTGTCCTAAAAATTAAACAGACTCTCTTAACCCAGACAGACAAAGGACAAGCCCAAGCTGTGTCTGTACCCAACCCCCTGGGGCCCCTGCCCGGACTCTGCTCCTCCTGCTGCTGCTGCTGCTGCTGCTGCAACCCTGCCCTGATGAGCCAGAGGGCAGAAGAGAACAGGTGAGGGCTGAGCAGCTGCAGAACAGCCCTGCAGAGAGAGCACGGCCAAGGGGCAGGTGGGCAACACGCGTTTGCAGCAGCGCTGGAGCCCGGGCGGCAGCTGCAAGCAGTGAAAAGCTCAAGAGTTCCCTGTCCCAGCTGACAGGGCAAATGTCACTTTTCAAGCCTTGTCCCTAAGAGAGGGCTGCCGAGGACTACTGCAGCTTGGCTCAGGAGCAGGCAAGGTGTGCCATCAGCGTGGCCCAGAACTCACCGCATCTCCTGGTCTGGCCTGTTGATGCCGACTACCTTGACGTACCAGCGCCAGCGCCTCAGCCAGCCCAGGTCACCGCGGGCGGCCGCGCGGTGCAGCCTGCCCAGCCCCTGCTCCCGGAGCTGGGAGGCGCTGCTGGAGCTGGTGGCAGCCCAGGGCTGCCCACTGGGGCTGCTGGAGGGCGACTGCCGTCGCTTCTTGCTCAGAAGCCACGGCATGGCCCTGCTTGGAGCTCCCAGCAGCAGGAAGGGCAAGAAGGCCCCGGCGGGCTGCCGGGAGCCAAGTGGGGATGAGGAATGGGACGGGGCGAGGTTTAGGGGGAGGGTGACAAAGGGGCGAGAATAAGGACGGGCACAGGGTATGAAGCACAAGGCAGACGAGGTCGCCCTGCGCAGTGGTCGTGGCCTGCAGCTGCCAAGACGGCGATGCAGGCGCGCAATGCTCCCCGAGCGGGATGTGCTGCTGCTCCCCGAGAGGCTACAGCAGCTCTGAGCGCCGGCTGCGGGCACCAACAAAGCCGTGCCCGACTGGCGCCTGTGGCGTCACAATGGCTGGTGGAAGGCTCAGCACGTCAGCGTGGGGTGTGACAGAGGCCACGGGGCAGGGTGGGGCCGGGCGGGACAGGGCAGGGCGGGGCAGGTGTGAGGGCGGCCCTGCTGGGCCTTGTGGCAAGGAGGCGGCCTGGGCCTTGTGAGGGCGGCCGGCGGGAGTGGGCACTGCCCCGCCTCAGGGCGCCCGGGGCAGGGCCCGGGACGCTCCCACCGGGCCGGAGGCTGCGGTAGGCGCTGGAGCAGCTCCCGCATCACCCGCTCTGGCTTTTTGCTTCAGCCTGGAGCCGGGCTGCCTCTGGACACACTGCCATCAAATGAGGCTCAGGAGGAAGTGGGGCCACCACAGCTCTCAAGAAATGCCCACCCAGCGCTCCAAGCCTGCCAGGCCAGAGTTCCAGGACAATTCCCCAACTCCTTTGTCTTGTCCCTCTTGAAGAGCAGACACCTCACCCCCTCTCCCCCTCACAACTGCTCTCTCCTGCTGCTTTGCCAGATGCCAACAGTGAATTTCTGCTCTGCTCCTCCACCAGCCAACGGGCAGCACACAGCAGGGCAGGAAGAAACTTTCAAACACATCTTGTCCCACTTTGTCTCGATGACAACACCAACTGAAAGATCAGAGGTTCTGCACCAGCTTTCTCAGCGGAGGGACACTACAATGGACCACAAACAGGCTGAAGAAATTTCCCTTTTTCTTTATAGGCTATAAACTGATCTGCTTCCCACGGGATCAGGGATTTGCCTGTGTTTTAAGGCTATCAGGAGCTTACTCACTATCTTCTGCCCAGAACACAAAGAGGAGGGCTCGAAAGCACTGCAAGAGTCTGGCAACTGAGTAGTAGCAATAGCTCACCTGGAGGCCATGATCTTAACACCACTGTGCTTCAAGCCTTCCCGGAGGAAGGGCACACATTTGCCTGGCCTCTGGGACAGGCTGAAGATGCAGCTGTGAGCAGAGCTGAAGGGAGCAGAGGACAGCTCTGGCTCGGCCTTCAGACCTGGCTTCTCTTTCGGCCTAGAAGATGTCTGCTGGACTGATTTGCACTCAGATGGAGGGCAGAGAGAGAAGTCTTAACTGCCAGCCCGGGAAGAAAGCCTGTCCCAGAGGCAAGCAGAGGGAAGAAGAGGGGACAGCCTTGGGATGGGGGAATGGGAGAAGCAAAGCCGGCAGGGGGAAGAGAAGAAAACGAGGACACATCCTGGAGTCTTGATGGCGACTGCCGTTGGTTCTTGCGGAGGAGCCCCTCTATGCTGTGTGTGCTTTTGCACAGGCTGCACTGTGGGTATGGCCCTGCTCTGCTGGTGGCCACTGCTCACCCTCTGCACAGAATCACGGAAAGACTATCAGTCCCTGAAGAAGGGCCCTGGAATTCCCCCCACCTGGTGGATCTGTTTGGTGGAGGGTTCCTGGGTGGAATATGGGACAGACTAGATGGGACTGACAGGGTTTTGGTTTTTCCTGGGGCACCAGCAGAAAAACAAATCCCCAAGAGTCGGGTGAATTCCCCTTCCCCCCGTTTGCCGGCACACACGGGAATCTGCTGAGGTTGGACAAGACCAAGGTGGTGCAGCCGGGTCAGGGCAACCCCCGGGATCGGTGCAGGCTGGGGGAGGAAGGGATGGAAGAACCTGCTGGGAGAGGGCTCTGGGGGTGCTGGTGGGTGACAAATGGGACACGAGCCAGCCCTCTGCCCAGAGCTGGAGGCAGCACTGCAGGGGGGTCTCAGCTGAGCGGAGCAGAGGGGCAGAACCCCCCTGCCCTGCTGCCCACGCTGTGGGATGAGCCCAGGACACGGGGGGGTTGTGGGCTGTGAGCTCCCATTGCTGGCTCCCATCCTGCTTTTCATCCCCCACTATCCCCATGGCCTTGGATGCAGGGCTGCTCTCCATCCCTTCAGCCCCGAGCCTGGCCCTTGAGATCTGGGGGCATTTGACACCCGCTGGCTCCTTTGATCCCCTTTCCCATCCCTCCCAGAGCCCAGGGAAGGACTGAGGGGCCTTGGCTGATTGTCCCTGACCCTCCCCTGCCCCGACACCAAGCTGTGCTCCTTGGGGACGGTGCTTGGACAGCCCCAGTCAGACCCTGTTTCCCGCTGTGCCCCCAAACCACCGGGTGCCCCAGGGGACGTGGGAACACACATGGACACGGGAAGGCACCCGTGGAGGTGGGAACACACACACCCAGACAGACACAGAGCATTTGTTTTGCTGCAGGGGTTTATTGATTCTTGCAGGGAAATTGCCAGGGCACCCAGGGGATCAGGGGGGTCCTCCAGGGATGATCATCTCCTCATGCCGCTGGAGGGGGCCAGGACACGGGTGTCACCACCACTTCCAGTCCTGAAAGACAGAGCCCCAAACGTCACCCCCGGTGTTCACAGGGACATGGGAGGGGCCTTGTCCCCACCCTGTCTGTCTGCAGGGAGCTGGGGCAGGAGAAGGGAATTGGATGCTGAGATCCATGTGGCCCCAGAGCCCCCCAGCCCGGGATGCTCTGACACCTCCCCGAGCCCCTCCCTGCCCTCCCGGTGAGCCTGGGGGTCTGCAGAGCCCCCAGTGCAAGGCCAGGCTTGGGGGCAGCTCTGTCCAGCTGCCCCGGGACACGGAGCAGGGACAGCCCCCTGCGTGTCCCTCTGCTGTCCCCAAGCTCTGCCCACTGCAGAGGGCTCAGGGACCCCCCAGGGCCCTGCCAGGCTCCTTTGGGGGGCTGAGGAGCCTCCCATATTTCTCACCTGGACATGCAGAGAGGCAGCCGAGCGTCACTGGCGCATCAGCTCCACCTGGTCAGCCACGGGGGGCTGGGGACAAAGGCAGGGTTAGAGACACACTGGGCTGGTTCTGGGACGAACTGGACTGGACTGGGACAAACTGGGCTGAACTGGGACACACTGGGCTGTACTGGGGCACACTGGGCAGGACTGGGACACACTGGGATTCTGGGGAGGGTGGTGGCCATGAGAGGGGAGGGTCTGAGCCCAGCAGAACTTGGGGTACCCACCTCAGACCTCTTCACTCGACCGATATCCATGCCTCCCTGGAGAGAGAGTGTGAGGTGTCACTGGTCACTGGGGTGTTCCCAGGCCCAGGAGGGATGGGGGGACTACATTTCCCCCCATTTCCCACACTGGGGACATCTCAACTCCAGGACTTACCCCAACACATCCACCTCCTCCTTGTCCCGAGATTGGCTGGGGAAGGAGAGCAAAGGTTTAAGCAGGATTGGCCCCTGTGGGGCTGGGGGAGACACACGGGTGTCCCCAGACCCCCCAGCCCATGGTTGGCCCCTGGTCTGAGGGGGAAAATCCCTTCTGCTCCCCCCAGCCCCACTGCACCCAGTTTCCCCCGGGATCCCTGTTCCTGCAGGGCCCAGGGTGGGGATGGAGACAAGGAGAGCCAGGGGAATTCAGGGCCTGCAGGAGGGTGGGGGGAGGACGAGGGGACCCAAAGAGGGTGAAGTCGGGGGAATTGGGGATCCCACAGGATGGGCATTGGGGTGTGGAAGGGATGGGACTGTGGGGGATGCAGGTGAGGAGGAAGGGATTGCAGTGGAGGGGACCCAGGGAATGAAGCAGGGCAGGGGTGGGGGCAGGAGAAATGGGGAAGGGGAGAAAACTGGAAGGGACTGGGAGGGTCTTTGGGACTGAGGGGTCAAGGAAGGGGATTTCTGGACACGAGTGTCATGGGCAATGGGAAAGGGAAAGGATTAGAGGAGAAAGAAGGGAAGAAATGGTGTGGGAATGATGCCCTGTGTGTGCGTGGTGGGGTGGACTGGGGTGTGTGGGAATAGACGGGGCCCTGAGGAAGGGCCTCCCCGGTGCACACTGGGGTGGACTGGGGAGCACTGGGATGGCCTGGAGGGTGGTGGCCACCAGAGGGGAGGGTCTGGGCCCAGCACAAGCCCTGGTACCCACCGGGCCGCCGATCCCGCCTGCCTGTAGAGAGACAAGGAGACGTCACTGGTCACTGGGGTGTCCCCAGTGCCAGGAAGGGATGGGGGGCCCAAAGTGCCCCCCACTTCCCACACTGGGTGCCCCCAACTCCCAGACTTACCTCCCCACATTGGACGCCGCCGGCCTGAACGGGCTGCAGGAGGAGAGCAAAGGCTTGGTTGGGGTTGGCCTGGTGGGGCTGGGGGGGACACGGGTATCCCCACCCCCTCCAGCCCCGGCTGCCCCCCGGGCTGAGCGGGGCTCTTTGGGATTGCGGCTCCCAGGCAAGTTGGGGACACCAGTGCAGGGGGAAAGGCAAGGCATTGAGGGCAAAGCCTGGAGGAAAGGCCCTGGGAAGGGGCCATGGCAGGGCATTTCCCAGTTGGTGCCAGTTCAGCCTGGCCAGGCCTTGTCCCACTTGAGCCCAGGGTGGAGCTTGGGCCTGTTTGTCCTCCTTGGACTCCAGTGGGGCTTGGCCCAGTTCCACCCAGTTTGGGTTGGGCCTTTGCCTTGGCTGGGAAAGAGAGGAGATGGTGGGGAGATGCCCAAGGGGACCAAGAGGATGGGATGGGGAGGCCCAAAAAGGTGGGATTTGGGGTCAGAAAGAGCAGGAAGCGTTGGGACTGTGCCAGGATGGAGCCGGGTGCAAGCATCCCGTGAGGAATCAGAGCTGCAGCAGCAGGAGTTGAATTGTGGGAAGGGGAAGGAGAGAGGGAATTGTGGCCAGAAGAAAGTGGCCTGGCCCGGGGCTGGGGGTTCTGGGGAGTGCTGGGGAGCCCCTGGATTGGGAAGGGGCCCATCCCTGGGCCCATGGCCGGGTCATGGGGGCCTCACCTTGGCATCTGCTGGGGGGCTCAGCAGGATGGTGAAGAGCAGGGCCGCGCTGAGCACAGCGACCTTCATCTTCCTCTGGGCCTGGGCAGCGCTGGCTGAGGCTGCACAAGGGCAGGAGCACATTTATCCCTGCCGGGACTCCTCCCTGCCCCCTCCCCGAGAGCCCCCGGGGCAAAGCCCGGCTGGGCACAGCCCCCAGCCCTGGCCACAAGCCCAGCCCTGGCACAGAGTCCATCCCGCCTGCGGCACCCATCCAGCCACCTTCCCCGGCATCCCTCCAGCTTCCTGCACGGGGCAGCTGCCCCTGGAAGGGCCCAGGCCCCTGGGGGTGCCAAGGGGGTGGGCAGGGAGCTGAAAGCAGCTGCATACCCTGTGGGGACAATCCCACACAACACAGTCCATCCTCCAACAGCCCCCAAAGCCTGATCCCCCCATGTCCTCCTGCCCATCCCTTCCAGAGCTTTCCCTCTGGGACACCCCAGAGATCAGCCCAGCCCCAAACCCGGCTTGTCTGAGCACAATTGTCCCTGTTCCCACTCCAGCCCCTTGGCTGAACGTAGAACTGGCAATGACCCCCTTCTTGGGGCACCAGGAGCCCGGGATCAGGGAAACAGGGAGCTGGGAGATAAAGGGGCTGACGGGCAATGGGCACAGGCGGGTGACTGGGATCTCCAGTCTGGGCAGGCACTGGGGAGCACTGGGCAATGCTGGCCCTGGCACACAAGGGCTGGGCCCAGGGAAGTGCTGGGGTGGTGGCAGTGCCCGGCTCCAGCCCATTTGCGGGCACTGCAGCCCCCAAGTGGTGCAGGCCCAGCCACGGCCTCCCCGAGCAGAGCCCAGAGGGGCAGATGCCCTTTGCTGGCCCTGCCCCTGTCCCAGCTGGGCACACCGTGTCCTCCCGCATCAGCCGGGCCCCGCTCTGCTGAGCTGGCCCAGGCAGGGGGGGCCAGGCACTGGCAGCCCAGCAGGGCTCTGGCTCCACACTGGGCTGGCCCTGGCACACAGCTGCCCCAGTGCCCCTGTCCCCAGGGATGGCCCTGCCCTGCCCTGGGCCCAGCGCTGGCCCTCAGCAGGATGGCACCTTCCCGCCCCACTCTCCCT